CTTCCATCGCCGTCGGTGGGTGGTCTCAGTCGCAGTACTTTAGCACGGTCGCCGCCAACGAGACGCTCTCAAAGGCGTTCGCATCGAACATTCACCAATACATGGACCAGAACGGCTTCGACGGCGTAGACATTGATTACGAGTACCCGGGGTTTGTGGTTTAACTCGGACACTCGTATTCTGTGATAACGGATAGCTTCTCTTTTCTTCAAAAAACAGAGGTGGATCGAGATGTAACGTTGTCAGCCCCGACGACGCGGAAAATACGCTGCGGTTCTTGACTATTCTGCGCGAGGAGCTTCGGTGCCGACAGGCTCATTTCCTTCGCCACTTTCACTTGCCAGCGATCCGTACATCAGCAATGGAGTCAACCTGCTTCCCCAATACGCACAGCAACTGTCGTTCCTTGGTCTGATGGCCTACGACGCGTACTCTTCGTCAGCAATCACGCCGTACGCCGACATTAACTCTCCACTTCGCCTACCAGGAGCTTCAGACCCACAGCGCCCCTCGGGCAACGGTCTGTCCACGTCCACCTCCACTAGCGTCCAGTCCCTCCTTCAGGCCGGCGTCCCAAGCTCAAAGCTCGTCATCGGCCTGCCCTTCTACGGCCACTCCTGGTCTGTCGCTTCCATGGGATCCACCAACGGCCTCTTCCAGCCCTGCGACAAGCCCAACCAGGACCCCTTCCACGCCACCCCCTGCGCTCCGCGTCCCAGGCGACGCCCTCGACGCCGCCTACAAACAGCCCCGCCTGCGATCCCTGCACCAGCACCTTGCACCTTCTCCGGCGTCTGGCTCTACCTCAACCTTCGCGGCGACCGCCAGATCCAGCGCAACCCGCCCCTCGCCGCCGGCCCTTTCGCCCCCGCCCCCGGCTGGTCCCGCCAATACATCGACTGGGCCGAAGCCCCGACCCTCTACAGCCCTTCGTTCATGCCCACCAACCCGGCAGGAGAGAATGCCTCCGATGGCCCGTACCCGGTATTCATCTCGTACGAGGACCCGCAGTCGGTCCGTGCAAAGGCGGAATGGGCTCGCAATAATGGACTCGCGGGCGTCATGGCGTGGGAGGTGTCGCAGGATTTTGAACGCGAGCTGCTCACCGCCTTGACGGCCGGCTGGGCGGGAGGCGCGTCGCCGTCGCCGCCGCCTGCAACGACGGGCGAGACGGACCCTACCGCGACGGGCGTGTCGACTGCGACGTCGGCGTTGCCGTCTGGTCCGTCTTCATCGCCTACAGCCGTGGCCGTCTCAAACGTTCGCTGCGGCGCCAGCTGGGAAGACGCAAATAAGTATTGCTACCAAAATTGCGCGAACGACCTTGATTGCCCGACGGGACTGTGAGTGTTCCGCGCTTTTGGACCTTTTGCCTGATTTCTAACCTTCGGTGCCATTTTTGCACAGCAATTGCTACGCTGGCGTGCACCTTTCGTGTCTGGATCCGTCCACGGGCATTCCGGTCGTGCCGCCAAAGACGCCAGTGCAGTCGACCGTTCGCTGTGGTACTAATTGGAGTAATGCGAATACGTACTGCAACCCGGTCTGCGAAGTTAATGAAGACTGTCCGACTGGAATGTAAGTGAAGGGCTGCGAGTTGCAAACTTCCTGTTTGGGGTCGACCTACAAAACACTGTTTCGCAGGGGCTGCTTCGCGGATCTTCAATTATCTTGCTCGTCTCCTCCTGCGTCTTCCGTGCAGTCAGAACTGCCTGCTACGTTAAGCTCACCATCAGGCGCTCTGCCAACAGAATCTTCATCACCAACTGGTTCAACTGCCTCCCCAACAACCCCCGTCGTCACAAACATCCGCTGTGGTGCAAACTGGTCCGACGCAAACACTTATTGCTACAGTAATTGCATGAACGACAGCGGATGCTCCAAGGGACTGTGAGTGGAAAGTCGCTCGAAGTGTGTCTACTCTTTGACCGCCCGCTCTCTCCTTCGCTATCTTAGACATTGCTTCGCGGACCTCAGTCTCAGCTGCATCGATCCGGCCAAAAACAGCTCTGTCGTAGTAACGTCCTCCAGCCCCACAATCATGCCGTCTGGACTGCCCACTTCAACGGATTCCTCGGGTACACCACTAACTGACTCTCCGTCAACTGCGTCGTCCCTACTTCCATCCCCAACCCCCGTCATCACAAACACCCGTTGCGGCGCAACCTGGGACGACGCGAACCAGTTCTGCTACCAGAACTGCGTGAGCGATTTGGACTGCCCTGCGGGGCTGTGAGTTGGCTGGCCTCCGAAAAACATTGCCCCAGTCTAACGCGGTATTCCTTCGCTCGTGCACTCAGATTTTGCTTCGCGGGAGTTCGCCTCACGTGCCTTGACCCCACAACAGGCTTGCCCGTCGTGCCGCCAAAGACTCCGGAGGAGTCTTCCGTGCGCTGTGGCACTGATTTTTTGGATGCGTACAAGTACTGCAACCCGGTCTGCGAGAGGAATGAGGACTGTCCGGCCGGAATGTGAGTGGTGTTTGGAAGAGGCTGTCGGTCGTTCCTGACACCTACGCTTACTCGCAGGGGCTGCTTTGCAAACCTTCGATTGCCCTGCTCGCCTCCGCTGACAACTTCCAGCAACTCAACGGCACTGCCAACGGATTCCTCTTTACCCTCTGGTCAGACTACCGCGACCCCGTCTCCAACTCCCAGCGTCATTACCGTCACCCGCTGCGGCGCAGACTGGGACGACGCGAACAAGTACTGCTACCAGAACTGCTTGAACGATTTGGACTGCCCCGCGGGACAGTGAGTGAAATCGAACTCGAAGTTTTCTCTCAAATCCCATCCCTTTGCTCGCGCTCTCAGAGCTTGCTTTTCGGGCCTTCACCTGACTTGCTTGGACCCCACCACGGACTTGCCGGTCATGCCGCCAAAGACCCCAGAGGAATCAACGATCCGCTGTGGTACCGATTTCTTGAATGCGTACAAGTATTGTAACCCGGTGTGCGAGCGAAATGAGGACTGTCCGACAGGAATGTGAGTGATATGGCAGGAAACAGGAGGTCAACCAATCTGGCTGATCCCTGCTATTCGTAGGGGCTGCTTCAAAGATCTTCAATTGCCCTGCTCCCCTCCTCCGTCGACCGCCTCCGGACTGCCAACAGGCTCCTCCTCCAACCCGACTCCGTCCCCAACCCCTTCGGTCATTACAAACACCCGCTGCGGAGCAGACTGGGGCGACGCAAACACGTACTGCTACCAGAACTGCATAGACGAGTTGGACTGCCCCGCGGGACAGTAAGTGGAAGACCCACAACGTGACCACCCGTCTCTCATCCTCCGAACCTCTCTCCGACGACTCAGATTTTGCTTTGCGGGCGTTAGCCTGTCTTGCCTTGACCCCGCCACTGGCGCGCCGGGGTCGCCGCCGAAGAACCCGCAGGAATCGACGGTGCGATGTGGCGCTGACTGGACCAACGCGAACAAGTTTGCAACCCGGTCTGCGAGACGACTGCTGACTGTCCGGCCGGAATGTGAGTGCGGGGAGAGTACTTTCCACATGAGAAGTTGGCTTCCGCAGGTTGACTCAATCGGCCGATTTACCTTCCATCCTCCGCAGGTTTTGCTTCAAAGATCTTCAAACCCCTTGCACACCTCTACCGACGGCATCTAGTCCTGTTTCAGGGTTGCCCACGCCAACAGACTCTTCTCCCTCCCCAATTGGCCCAACAACGTCGTTTGCGTCCCCGACAACGCCCGTCATTACAAACATCCGCTGCGGCGCAAACTGGGCCGACGCGAACCAGTACTGCTTCACGAATTGCGTGAACAACGACGGATGCCCCACAGGACAGTGAGTTGCGTCTGCAAGAACTCTGGCTTGAATTATGCATGCCTCCCGCTAACCCCGCCGCCTTGGTAGATTCTGCTTTGCGGGCCTTAGCTTAAGCTGCCAAGACCCCACGTCCATTGCGCCGTCTTCAAGCCCTGCGTCCCTCTTGCCGAGCTTGCCCACCTCTTCCTACTCCCCCGCGCCGTCCGATCCTCGGGCGACAGTCTTGCCCTCCCCCACTTCCAACACGCCATCCACGCCCAACCCATCGCCGTCACCAACCGTCGCCGTCATCACAACCACCCGCTGCGGCGCAAACTGGACCGACGCAAGCACCTACTGCTACCAAAACTGCGTGAGGGACTGTCCGGTGGGAATGTGAGTTTTTGTTTGTGCCGCCACAGCCTGGCCTCGGGGTTCCCTGCCTTCTCACCACGAAATCCTCGTAAGGACTTGCTTCGCGGACCTAAGCCTGACGTGCCTGGACCCCGTCGTCAGCGTGCCGATCGTGGCGCCAAAAGCGCCGCAGGACTCAACTGTCCGCTGCGGTACTGATTGGGCGAACGCAAACGCCTACTGCAACCCCGTCTGCGCGTCGGTGCGGGATTGTCCTGCCGGAATGTGAGTTCCCTGTCCAAGATTTTGTTTCATTACGACTCAGGATTGCCGTGTACATCCCTCAACTTTTCTTTTCGTTTTACGCAGGCAATGCTTCGGGGGCCTTCAGCTCAACTGCAGGTCGCCACCGATGACTAATTCGGTCTCGGAATCCGCGCCAACGCCCGCACCTGAACCGTCCGACTGGCCCTCCACAGCGGAGTCGACGGACTCCCCGGCGGCCACGGGATCGCGCGGTCCCGTGCGGCGCTGAGAGCAATGTTCTTTTTTGCGTGTGGTTTCGATCGGGGAGGATGCAGTGCGGAAGGTTTTTTGGAAAGAAAGAGAATGCCAATAAACGCAACTGACCTTCCAAGGCGGATTTACATACGCAATGACCGCCAAGGGCCTGCCGTGGCCGCATTCCTGGCAAACATGGGGGCAACGAAATACGCATGCGCGTCGACGAAGGACCAATTTGCACATGTCGAAAGCCACGGCTTTGGTGCAATCTCTCGAGGAAGAAACTGACCGCACAAACAACTGATTCTGTGCACTTTGTCATCACGATTGTAGAGTTCATGACTATTGCTAGACTCGGACACTGTGAGGGACCCGAACAATACCCCTGCGAAGAATTGAACTCCGATGCTCCTCTGAGAAAGAGATGTCCTAACCATTAGACGACAGGGACTCGTGGGATGAAGGCAATAAATGAATTATCATTGTGGACAAGTTTCGCAACGAATCTCCCTTCCCCAAACTTGCGCAGTCATGGGTCACTACCAAGCCAAATCCGTCCCGCCTCTGCCAGGATTCGCGGTCACAACATCGAAGGCATCTTGCACGCTTCGATGCGTTGGGAAGGAAAGAGTTGGGCAGGAAAGATTCGAGGCGAAAAAAGGAGTTTCTCTTGAAACAAATAAGACCATACATACCCCTGCGACGAATTGAACGCCGATCCACCGCTGGGAGAGCGGTATCCTAACCATTAGACGACAGGGGACTTGAGACTTGCAAATGTTATTATTTATTTAAGATTTACGTGTGGCCAAGTTTCTCAACAAATTGAACGCGTCAAACCCAAAACCTATGACCATTTTGTCGTTGCCCACGGCGTTCGCCCAAGCGTGCAGCACCCCCAACTGAGTCGTGCTCACATCTACCGCGCTTCGACGTCGCATGGTTTAGTGCTATCTGTTGGAAAACATGACCATCCACGCGCCCCTGTCGTCTAATGGTTAGGATACCGCTCTCCCAGCGGTGGATTGGCGTTCAATTCGTCGCTGTGGGATTGCAGGATGCGCTATTGCAGCAAATATTCAGTTTCCGAGGTTTGCACAGTCCATTCACTACTTTAAACTTCCATCCCTCGGTCTGCTTTTCAGGGGAAAGATAATGCACACAAGGGCAACGTGCGAGAGTATATGTTGGTACACTGAAATTTGAGGAAAGTTGAAATCCAGGCGTTTGAAGATTTTAGAATGAGAGTTTTGGAAACAAGCCATTCCCAGGATCAATAACCAGCGATCCAGGCCCCAACCGAAACAGCCCGCAAGACGACATTTCGAATCGCGGCCGTCCACCCCTTTGAGCAAATCAAGTTGGAGCTTTGCATAGAGGCGCGGACGTTTGCAAATCCCCTCTTGACAATCGCCACCTCGGCGTCTGATACCGCCCTGCAAACAGCACTGGCGGAGGCACCCGGCTGGGACATTGTCGACAAGATGCAGTCAGTCAAGTCGTTTGCGTCAAGCAGCGCGGTGTTTGCTCCAAGGCCTCTCTGCGGCGTCATTGCGTGGAGAGCGTCGCCGATAAGCGTGACGCGCCCAAAGGAGCTCGCATCGCCGTCTGCGAACGGGTTGTCCGTTAACGGGACGATCGAGTGCAAGTCGACGCGAAACTTGTCCAGTACGTTCGCCGTCGGCATCGATTTGGCGAGCTCGACGACCTCGGCGATGAACCCGGCTTCCGAGACCTTGTCGACGATGATCTCCTTGATCCGCTTCTGCAGCGCCGTTGGATTGTGCTCGTCTTTGGTCAAACCCGACGACCTCATGTACGCGTCCGCGTCGCGGTTTGGCGCCTCGAACGTGGCGGCGACAATCATGTTCAGCTGGCCGTGCTCGTCCTTGAACGGCAGCACCAGCACGGACACGCCCGACGGGCTGCAGGCACGGACAAGGAACGGCGGCCGCCCGCTCCCAAACACCGCGTCGCGGATCGCGGGGAACGCAGTCGTGTCGCCAGAGTCGAACGGGACGTACCCCGCCAGGTACATGAAACCGACGGGCTCCAGCCGAAGCCTGGGCGCTCGCTGCGGTCGCACGAGCGACCGCGCGCCGTCCGCTCCGATCAGGATGTCCGCGTCGGCCGCGGATCCGTCGGCGAACCGGATCCGCACCCGACTGCTGTCCCCGCCGTCGCGCAAGACCTCGTACGACTCAAACTGCTTGTTGTAGAAGATGCCGGCGCAAGTGCTCGTGGCCGGGCTGTTTTGCAGCAGCGATTCCGCCAGGGTGTTTCGCAGCCGCCGCCTATCGACCGTGCCGCGGGACTCTGCCCGCGCTTCCAGCGCGGCGGGCCCAGCGCGCGCGGCGGCGTCGACGTCGGCGTGCTTCTTGACGCCGAACGAGAGCAGCGTGTCAAAGTTGTGGTCGCAGACCGCGATGCCTTGGATGGACTCGGGCCCAAAGAGGCCGCCGAGCTTTTCGAGGACGGCGGGCTCGCCGTCGCAGCAGGACCGCAGCGCCTTGATTCCGTCGGCGTTCAGGCCGAGGAGGTAGCCCTGGCCGCGGGCGCTTGCGGTCTCGTCGCGCTCGTAGACTTGGACGCGGACGCCGCGGTCGAGGCCGCTGCGACGGGCGTCGCGCATCAAGCCGTGGGCCAAGGCCAGGCCGCCGATGCCGCCGCCGACGATCGCGATTGATAAGGGCATAGTGTGGTGTTTAGCTGTTGAGTGTTTTGCGATGATGAAGAGGGAGAGCGCGTTGCGACCGAGGGCAACATAAAGGGGCGAGGCGGATGTGTGAACGGATTGGAGGAGGAGCAAAAACAATCGGATGTGGGGGAGGGGTTGTTGTTGTTGTTTGGATGGATGGGAGGTCGGTGGCACGGCTGTTCCCGTACGCGTCCGACAGACACCGTTGCGTGACACAGACACGCCTGTTGTTTTTCTTGGTCCTTTTTTTCTTTCTTTGTTTACTTTCTTTTTTATTTCGTGGGGCGTTACGCAACAATAGCACGGTTGCTTATTTGGACCACGCATGTAGTCTCTTGTTTCTTAAGAATCGGGTTTGTTTTGTTTTTTTTCTTTTCTTTTCTTTTCTTTCTTTTTTTTTTTCCCGTGGGGCAGCAGCTTCGACTGGCACTGTTCTCATTCGTGGGGTTTGGGCCAGCCGGAAGATGAGCGAGCCCATGCATCGTCCATGTTGGGGAGTATCGGGTCAGGAGCGCCTCAATCATCTGTATCGGCTGATGCTGATGGGAAAATTCACTACAAATAAAGATATGGGAAGGCTACGCCTTACCACCTCGCCCGCGAGGATATTTGTAATCCAGCACCCCAGAGGGGAGCTGGATTAAACTTGGTTAAACTTTATTTTTGCAACTTCTGCATTGCTGATGCAATTATTGATCCAGCAAGATAGAAAGAGTATCCAATCTTTGATCTTCTGCCAACCTTTTTTGGAACCCTGGGCTCTCCCAGAGTGATGACACCCTGTCATACGGAAAACCCTTCACCATGAGGCCAGCCACGTTTTTCACACGTGACAGAGCCACAAACGTGAGCCCAGTTGTTTGTTCTTTGGAACCAATGTCAACATAAGCAGAAGCAAGTGTTTGCCCTTGACTCTTGTGAATTGTCATGGCATAGGCCAGCCTCAAGGGCAACTGTGTGCGTGTTCCTCCATTAGTGCCATCAACTGATATCGGAGCGATAGCCACATATTTCTCATGTCCCTCAACACTGTTGTCAAAAGAGGGACCAGGAGCAGCATATTGGTCCATTTCAACCACCACAAACAGCGGCATTGCAGCGTTGTCAGATCCAAAAACTATATCTTGGACAGTACCAAGTGCACCATTTGTGAGCCCAACACGCTTCCACATATTTGATGTTAGGGCAACCCTTGCCCCAATGGCAATGTAAATGAAGTTCTCCAAGTTTTGAAAGTCCTTGGAATCCTTACTTCTTGCATCTTCAGGATTATTGAGTGCAGTTACCCGAACAATTGGAGAGCGAAGCTGCTGCAGCTGGGCGCGGTTATGCTCCTCAACTGCAGAGTTTGTGAAGAATAAATGCACTGAATCCCGAAATTGGTTTTGGTAAATCTCACGTGCACCAGCCCTTTCATAACTGCAGTTGTTCATAAGAAATCTCCAGTGATCTTTTGTCATGATGCCATTGCGCAATGCCCTCAAGAGGTCAACAAAAGTTGCTTGGTTCGGGTCATGGCCAACAACCTGCTGACGATGGATTGTTGTGAGGCGTGCAGTCTTGTTGAAAAGTTTATAGGAATGATAACCAGCCTTTCCTTGGTCTGTTTTTGCACTAGTGCCATTAAATAACGGAGTACCTCCAACTGGAGGTATCTGAGCCAAGTCTCCCACCAACAGGATAGAAAGGCCCCCGAATGGCACATCTGGCTTAACAAATGCCTGCCTCAAGCGTGAGTCCATCCTGCCCATGATTTCACAGCTGACCATTGAGTATTCATCCACAATGAGCAGCCTCACATTGCGAAAAACCTGCTGAAGATTTCCAAGCTGTTTTCCTGAGATCAAGCCACCCCTCTTTGATCCACGTACATCAAGCTTCAATAGGGAGTGTAAAGTTGTTCCTCCAATGGCAAAAGCAGCTTTAGCTGTGAAGGCTGCACGAGCAACTTCATTTTGCAAAAAGCTGCTGGACAGAGCATTGATTACATGGGACTTCCCAGTGCCTGCAGTGCCATTCAGTATAAAGAGGGACTGATTTTGATCCCTCATTTCATTCAATATGTGATCAAAAACCTGTCGTTGGACAGGATCCAGGCTCTCTGGGCTGACATAAGGAGCCTCTGCACCTTCAGGGCCGTCTCCCAGTGCTTGCTTGTTTTTTTCAACAAATTTGGTGCCCTCCTTAAGTTTCTCCTCTGAATACCTCAAACGATGGATACTCCAGTCATAGTTTGCTGCCAATGGTAGGTCCAATCCAAGTCTGTCAGACTGTGTGTTTTGTTGCACATCTGCCTGTGGAAGCTCATCTGCAGCATTCATCCACATTTCCCTGACCAAATCCATTTCCTCCATTGCCATAACATCTCTTCCTTGTCTTGCAGCTTCATTCTGGTTGTCACGCATTTTTTTCAATTCAGCTGCCAGGAAATGGTCCATTTCACAAATTCGCTTTAGGGCATCATTGCTGCAGTGCAAAAGGAAATTCTTCCAGTCCTCTTCAGCTACTTCCAAGTTTCTGAGCTGCTGAAAAGATGCTTCATGCCATGGCTTGTGCTTGGCTAGTTGTTGCCGGCAGTATTTCTTCTGAGCATCAGTTCCCTCCTTGCTTGGCCGATGTTTTGGAGTAAACAGAACAACTACTTTCTGAGAGCTCTCACTACTTCTTTCATAAAGAGCTCCTTTCTTGACCTTATGCCCAATGCAAAAATCTAACAAGCTCATGTTGGCATACAGAGCATTCATATCTCTTTT